CAAGTGAAGACGCTCTGTTGTAAACAGCCACACCAGCACGCTTTTTCGTCTTCGTTTTGCCTGAACCAACATTTTTTCCCCAACGAAGCACACCCCTTTTAACATGGAAAAACATATATGGTCAAAATCACATGGTAAAGAGGAGGTTTTGTTTTCTTTACTAGTAACACTTCTTTTGTGGTTTAATGGGGTTAAATTAAACAATACATTTAAAGGATTGAGACATGTCAATTTAGATGCCTAACAGCCATCCCCCAAAATATTCATCCATGAAATCAACAATTACGATTTAATGTAATGTAAGAGGCTATTGACCAATTGTTGAATACCTATTAAGTTGAGAAAGAAAACAGGAATGCTGAACTCGACTGAGAATAGAAGCCATAAATTTGCCAAATATATTTATCATGTTCACCAATAAGATTAATTATTTTTTCAATTTGTCAAACGACTTATCTATGGCCATGCAACATTAATATAATTACCCTCCTCCAAGAGTTGGATTTTATTAGAAGAACCAGCATGAGTGATCCAGCTTCAACAAGCAAATTGTTCATGTAGCCCATGTTTTATCATCTGTTTGGCATTAGCTACTTTTCAAAACAGTTGTAAGCCATAAAATATTTGCCACAAGAAGCATATTTCAAAAGGGTAAGTGTCAACACAGGATGAAGGCTTGACTACAAACAAGATAGGAATATATAAAGCATTAAAGTTAACTTCATGGATATTTATGTCTATTGAATATAAAGCTAACTTGGGCTTGTTTGAAGAAGGAGAAAGTTGCTCTCTTAGGGAACTTTGTTTTTAATGACAGTGGTGCCTGACCAGCTTGCACTCTATTTCTTATATTATAAATCTGTCAGCACAACAAAACTTGAGATACCCGCAAATTTCTAAGATGAGGACTCATTCACATGTAAATCACAGATGAACATCCAAAAGGAAAGAAACCAGCTCAAATGCAATATATCTACCTTTCCTCTTCGGACAATATATTGTCGTTCATAAGTTTCTGCAACATAGCGTCCTGCAATAAAGTATCACACATATTCAACCAAGTATCATCACACACAGTAAGACCTCAAAGGTCCATGTCCAAGGAAGTGTTTCAAAGGATAAAAGTTTCGGGAAGTAGGGGTTT